CTTTTTAAAATTCAATTCAAGCAGAATAAATTTCATTCTAGATCCTCACTGTTACTCTCCATGTATCTTTGTTTAAGTTTATTTCTTGTATATAACAAATTGTTGAATTCTGTTTTTCTAATACATCCTTTAACTATCTTCTATTTTATTGACAATTTTGATTCATTAACATTCTGTTAAGTTTTACTGTCTTACATTTAAAAAAATCACTAAATACATGCAGCTTATTTTATTTGAAACAATACAATTCAAGTCATCACCTTTTAATATATGGATACATTTTTTTTTTTAAGGCAATTGGGGTTAAGTGACTTGCCCAGGTAGTAAGTATCAAATGTTTGGTAGACCGGATTTGAACTCGGGTCCTCCTGGCTTCAGGGCTGGTGCTCTATCCACTGTGCCACCTAGCTGCCCCATGGATACCTTTTTAATATGTATATGCAAACACACACATATATGCCACCTAGCTGCCTATACAATACCTAGAACATATATTGTAAGCCTTTAATAAGTGTTTATTGAGTTTCATTCTTAGGAGAAATAATTTGAAATCATTCAGCATATTGAGGAACCATTTTTATAATTTTATAGTATGCTAAGTGCTGTGGGATGTTATTTGATGATGGAAGCTAGTTTCTTTTTTTTTTTTGTATGTAATATTCCATTCCTTTCATTTATCATCATCTACAATCTGGTCTACACAATTTCAACTGTTACTACTGTAATGTATAAATGACCTTTCTCTTCCTATCTAATTGTAATATGTTTTCTTTGATAATGAAGCTTTGGAATTTGACAACTATATTTCTGGGCAAGTTAAATTTGAGATTCCTTCCTAATTCAGACATCAGAATTCTATAAATTTTAATTAATCAACAAGTATTTATTAAATTCAATATGTACTTTATGCCCTGTCTGCAGTGTTTCTAGGCTATTTTCTTGTATGATTTCATGACTTATAGTATTTGAGCTCTTCATTTCATCATATTTCTTTCTACCTCCCCAAGGATATAAATTTAAGATAGTCTCATTTAACTCTATTTTTAAGGTTATTTGCTTTGGTTTTTGAGCAACGCATCTTCCAGTTGTGCTGCATTTTGATTTTATCCTGATATTTGTTTTTTCCATTTGTTCTAAATAGCTAGCTTTCTTGTTTCAAAAAAAATTTTAAGGTTTCTAATTTCTGTCCTTATATTTTCCTTCAATTATTTTATTGAGTTCCTGAACTACTTTGGAGGATCTCAAAATTGTTCAATTCTCATATATGTGGGTTCAGTAATTGTTACTGACCTATGATTATTAATTCTTTTTTTGTTTTTGTTTTTGTTTTTCTCTTTTCTTTAATCTTTTTCTTTTTTTTTACTCTGAATTTACTTGTATGAATTTCCTTCCTTTTGCCTCTTTTTTAATGATTCAGGGGAGAATAATTTTAATGATTTTTAATGATAATTAATTATTAATTATTAATTATTTATTTATTTAATGAAAATTAATTATTTTAATCATTTTAATGAGTCAGGGGAGCTAGACTTAAGCACAATCAATACTAACCCAACCATTTTTGTCAGCAGTCTGCAAAATTGTTTTTTAGAAGCTGGATAATTGAAAGAGGTGGATAAGATTGCTTAAATCAAGAAGAAATGTTCAAAGAGGTAGCAGCAAAGTCAGATGTACCCTATGACCCTTAAAAGGGCACAACTGGACTTGGCTCTGACATTCACAACATGGGCTTCTGCTGAGAATACATTAGTGTTGAGGGAATCTCGTTTCTGGGTATTGGTTTTCCCTTCTAAATATCCATGGTAAACCCAGCATCTTCAGGTTCAGCAGTCTAGTCTGAAGGTCACTGACATACAAAAGGTCTGGGCCAGCTTACTTTCCATGCTAATCTATAATTAAGAATTTCACCCTGTTGGAGTTGTGAAATGATCCAACCATTTTAGAGAGCAATTTGGAACTATGCCCAAAGAGCTATAAAAATGTGCATACCCTTTGACCCAGCGATAGCACTTCTAGGTCTGTATCTCAGAGAGATCATAAAAATAGGAAAAGGACCTACATGTACAAAAATATTTATAGCAGCTCTTTTTGTGGTAGCAAAGAATTAGAAATTGAGAGGATGTCCATCAATTGGGGAATGGCTGAGCAAGTTGTGGTATATGAATGTGATGGAATACTACTGTGCTATAAGAAATGATGAACAGGCAGACTTCAGAAAAACCTGAAAAGACTTATATGGTCTGATGCTGAGTGAAGTGAGCAGAACCAAGAGATCGTTGTACACAATAACAGCCACGTTGTGTGATGATTAATGTTAATAAACTTAACCCTTCCCAGCAATACAAGGATCTAAGATATCTCCAGAGGCCTTGTGATGGAAAATGCTATCCACATCCAAAGAAAGAACTACGGAAGTTGAATTGCTATTTTTTTTCTCTTTCATTGAGTTTTGTTTCCTCTTTCTGATGGTTCCTCCTGTTGGTTTTAATTTTTATTTACAACATCACTAATGTGAAAATATGTTTAATATGAGTGTAAATTTATAGCCTATATCAGATTGTGCACTGTCTTGGGGAGAGTGGTGGGGAGGAAGGGGGAGAAAAATTTTAAACTCAAAAGCATATGGAAGTGATTATTGATAAATCAAAATAAATTAATATAAAAAGAAAAAAAAGAATTTCACCCTGTGAAGTTAATTATCCTGCTTTTTGTGGTAGAATGGTTTTCTCCATCCATTTTCTCCATCACTTATAGCCTAAAGGGAATATTACTCCATCCTGATCTCATTTCACAATAAAACTACTCTGTCTAGTGTCTGGTTCCTAGTCCCTTGGTTACGATAGATCTCTTCAATAGTCATTTCTTATTTCATCCCCTCCCCATCTAATAGTCACTTCCTGGGTTTTTGTGGTCATAGTCTGCAATGAAATTTCAGTTGTTCAGGGATGAAGGTTCACACTGCATTAATAACCTTAGGGAACTAATGTAAATTAAGTATTAAAAACCCTCAACATTGGGTTATAAAACTATGGAACATATAGGAAAAATTATTGCTACAAATAATAGTACTTAGCTTCTCTGCAGAAGTTTCTTTTCCTTAAAATTGAAATATCAATACATTTTTATTGCTTTATCTAGATATTCTCTGAATGAAATGTCTGAAAAGTGCCCCAAGTTCATTGGAGATAAGATCATTAGAAATGTCAGGCACTATACAATCCTATTAATAATAATAAGAATATAGAAAATAGCATCTTCTGGATTCTATATTTTCTATTTTCATATATTTCTGTTCTTTAGATTTTCTGTCTTCTAAGTATCATTGATTGGGCAAACTGTGCTCAAGTCGACAGTGCCTGGAGATCCATGACACATATAAGATCATTGTGGAGTGAAGTAAGCGATTAATTTCCAATGACATTTTATTTCTCTCTCCAAAAGGATAACAGACTCTTATACATACAAGACAGTTGTTCACAATTTTAGTAAGCAAATAAGGATAGATTCTCTTGTATTTCCAAGCATGTGGGCCCTAGCATTTCTGTATTGTTTTGGTTTTATAATCCCAGAAGGAGTTGTGGTTGGAAGGTGTTGGCAAAGGGCCATACATGGGGTGGTTATCTTACTGATATAAAAATTCACCCCAACAGGAACTTTCTTACTAAGGGAATTATCGTGTTCTTGGCTATATAGTCCACAGATAGCAGGTAGCTTAGTATTTCTTTCATTCATACACCTTTTGAATGAAGAGATAATCAAACAAAGCCGATCTCCCTTGTGTGCTTTCCTGCATGCATTATTATTATCTCTAATTCAGGAGTTCTTAAGTTGGGGTTCATGAACTTGTTTTTAAAAAATATGTACATATATGTATTGTGATAACTGTATTTCATGCAGTTATTTCCTTTTTTAATCCTTTGTATTTTAATTCATTTAAAAATTTTATTCTGAGAAGGGGTACATAGGGTTCACCAGATTGCCAAAGGCATCCATAACAGGAAAGAGGTTAAGCACCCCTGTGAGAAAAAAAGCTAAATGTTACTTATTTTAGAGGGTGAAATATAGGAGGCATTAGTTGGTTAGTACAGTCTTTGGACTTGTTTTGATATATGACAGTTTCTGTTCTGCAGTCACAAACTATGTTTTTGACCCCTGCTAGCCATCTTTCAAATGCGTTTCATTTTTCAGAAGGTGGATAGATGACATATATAGGTATGTTGTGCTGAATCCGCCACCTCAGTTGGGACAGTAGTACAGAGTATATGCTCTTTTGATTGTGAGAGAGAGAGAGAGAGAGAGAGAGAGAGAGAGTGTGTGTGTGTGTGTGTGTGTGTGTGTGTGTGTGTGTGTATTTGTGAAGATTGACATACTGATTTGAGTGGAATTCTTGGGGAGATTCATGAAAATAGGGAGGCACAGATTGTTGTATATACTCTTGAACTCTGAATGATTTGTGAATTGATACTTCCTGGAAAAATAATAAAGATAATTAAAACATGATACCAAGCTCACAAAGTCAATAATGTTCAACATACTTCCTTTTGTTAAAATAAATTGTGAGTGCCAACCTTCTCTTCCTCCAACAAGGTTGTTACAGGTATCAAATGTGGCTGGCCCATCACTGCTAATGGTGGATTAGTAGTAGTGTCGTGTTTATATACAAAAGATAGAACATTAAAAAATAGCTGTTGTAGTAACTGAAACTAAATGTACTGATCGTTGTTTATCATGCTACTTAGCTATAATAGAATTTCCTCGGTATTTTGGTTTCAAGACCTAAATATCCAATACAGGGCTTTGGCTTAGGATTTCATGACAAATAAGAGTTGCTTTTCGAATTTCATATATCCTGCCAAATAGACTATGAAAAAACTTGTGGTACTCTTTGTTGTTGTAAGTGGTGTAGAATGTCCCTGATATTTAATACTTTCAAATTTATTATTTTTATATGAAACAAGTCTTAAATTTTGTTAATATCCTCTGCTTGTTGATCTTTTTAGATCAATTTTTCTTTAGTGTGTAGTATAGTCAATGACAGATATATAAGACAAATATTACAAAGATGGCGACCTAATATGTTACGTCTGGATTTCCATGGATGTTCTTCCCTTCAGTGGCCTTCCTTTAAATTCATCAGTAAGTATGTTCCTTTTTTCAAATATTTGTTTCTGTTTTTTTCCATATTCATCAATATAAAGAAAAATATTAACGAAATGGAAACTTTATTTCTATCTTGTATTGTGGGAATGATACTACTCCTCCTGATGCTTCAAGTATAGTCAATTCTCAATTAACTTTGGTGAGCTAGGAGTTATATCTCCACTGAACCATACAGCTAGTCCTTTGGACTCTCCTCCAGGTTTTCCATGTCTTTCTCATTTTCCTTCTGGATTGTTTGTCATTGGATCTTTGCTTTTTCTGTTCAATTTAAGACAATGCAATTTTATTAATAAACATTTATTAAGTGCCCATCACGTATAAAACATGACTCCCTTATGTAGTCTAATCTGACTTCCAGCTGTGAACATGAAGAGTTAGAAAAGGAAAAGGAGCCACTGAAGATACTAGTATGGAATCAATGAGCTTCCCTATGAATCTCTCTCTACAAAGTGAACTTTTTTACTTAATGAGAATTGTGAATTGAGAGCTGGCTTTTGAATAAGGAAGATCTAGGCTTAAGGAGTTCAGTGCCTAGCTCACCACTTTCCTTTCTCCATTTCCTCCTTTTATATTAGAGGATTTCAGCATTCACACTGATGCACCCTCAACCCTGCTAATCTTTCAGTTCCTCAGTTTCATTAAATCTGGTGATTTACTTCATGACTTCACTAAGTTACATGTAAGGAGGGAGAAGGGAAGAAGAAAATATGCATTTTTATAGTGCCTACTATGTGCTAGACACAATGCTAAGTATTTTCCAAGTATTATCTCACTTGTCATCGGGATGGTCACATATTGGATTTCACCATTACCTATTTGTTTTCCGTTTCCTTAATTAGAAACTAGACCATTGCCAGCCATAACTGACTATAATTTTGTCTCACCCTATGTCTTGCTCCTTTTAAATCTGTTTTTCACCCTCATGGAGAACCATAATTCCCCCCATCCCTCCATAACTTTCTCAGGTCATTATCTTTGCTCTGGCTTCACATCCCTCCTTCTCCATTTTGACTTTATAGTTAGCTAATTCAGCTTGGAATCATTTAGTCAGTCAGCCTTAAGTAGCTCTTAGGAAAGGATATTTACTAATTTAGTAAATTAAATTTACTAAAATGTAATATTTACTAAAGGATATTTACTAATCTGCTCAAAAGTCTGTAACACACGTTTCTTCAAATGCATCCAAAGGTCAGGGAAAAGTGTGCTCAAGCTTAGAAAGCACATGTGGCAAAGGGATAATTCACATGTCCTAGTTGCTTTGATTAATTGATTGATTGAGACATGTTTTCCCATAATTAGAATGAGCTGTTATTAATTCCTGTTATCAAACTTTAAAGAGGCCCTTACATAGTAAGGGTAGTCATTTTATCCCTCCCTAATTGATTCCCTATCTCACTTCCCACAAAAGCTTTCCCAAATGTTCTTCTCTCTCCTCCCACACTTTCCCTTCACCTCTCCCTCCCTCATCCCTCCCAGTTTAGGACCTCTCCTCTATTTTACTGAATCCTCTTTTGACACTTAAAGTCCTTCACAAGCTGGCCCCTTCTACCTTTCTACCTTTTGTACCTATTTACACTTATTCTCCTTCATGTACTTTGTGATCCAGTGACAATGGCTTTCTTGCTTTTCCTCATATTTGACATGCTATCTCCCAACATGAACGGATTGCTCTCCTTACTCATGTCTGCCCCCTGGCTTCTCTGTCTTCCTTTAAGACTCATCTAAAATTTCATCTTCTGCAGAAGGCCCCTCCCAGCCCTCTTTCCCATGTTCCCCTTCTTTCTCCCTCCCAGTGCCTTGCCTCTGAGATTATATTCCATTTTCACTGAGTATATCTTATATGTCCATAGTTATTGGCATGTGATCTTCCATATGAGAATGTGAGCTTCTTGAGGGCCTTTCTTTGTGTCCCTAGTATTTAGCACTGTGTCTGGCACATAGTAATAAATTAACTTAAATTAATACATTTGTCTATCAACTAATAAATTTATTAATAAATTCTTTAATTTATTCACAAAAGCATACCAAATACTTATTGATTTACTTTAGGCACTATGAAAAATATGCAAATGAATAGACATAGTCCTTTCCCTTATAGAATTTTAAGTCTAGTAAAGAATATGAAATATGAACAAATAAATTGTAATAGAAACCACAATATGGAAATAAGAGAGTTGCAAAGTGCCACTTGAGTTCAGAGGGAGGAGAAACTACTTGAGCTGAAGGAGTCAGGGAAAGCTTTATGGAGCATTACAATGAGAGGGAACAGCATGAGCACAGTCATGGAGATGGGAGATCAGAGGGTATGTTCAAGGAATGGTGAGTGGAATAGTTTGGCTTCCATTCATGTTACAATGGATAAGCCCCTTGTTCTCTCTACATCTTAGTTGCTTTATCTGTAAAATGAAGGACTTGAACCAGATTATTACCAATTTCTTCCCGTTTTCAATCTGATAATCTTATGCAGGGGATTGTTAGGAAATAAACTTTGAAAGGTAGGTTGAGAATAAATTATGGAGACTTTGATGTCAGAAGAAGGAATTTAGATGGGAAGCCACTGAAATATTTTGATTGTTTCTATGACATAATCAGAACTTTTTTTTAGGTAAAAAAATACTTTGGGAGCTGTGTGTAGAATTTATGAAAAAGGCAACCCAATTAGAAGGAAAGCTATTAGAGTAGTCTACTCTAGGCAATAGACGAAGGCCTGAACTAGGATGATGACAGTGGAATAGAGAGAAGATGGTAGATGAAAAAATATTTTGCAAAGGTAGAATAAAAAAGATTTGATAACTAAATTGATGTAGGAGGTGAGGAAGAGGAAAAACTTGGGTGAAGAAGAAAATAGTAGTACCATTAGCAAAAACAGGAAAGTTAGGAAGAAAGGCGGGAAAGATTAGTTTAAGGTGCCATTATATGCTGAGGTGGTGATGTTCCATAGGCAATTGAAAATATGGATCTGGGGGCAGCTAGGTGGTACAGTGGATAGAGCACTGGCCCTAGAGTCAGGAGGACCCGAGTTCAAATCTGACCTCAGACACAAAACACTCACTAGCTTGTGTGACTCTGAGCAAATCACTTAACTCCAATTGCTTTGCCAAAAACAAAAACAAATAAACAAAAAAGATATGGAGCTGAAGCTTAAAGGAGAAGGTGGGGCTAGAGGTATAGATTTTTGTTATTTGGAGGTTTACTTTATAACATCTGATTTAATATTTTTTCTTTCCATATAAAATTCTTTGAATAAATTATCTTATTAATGAAATAATTAAACATACCCATGTTGATCTTTATTTTTGTAGAAGTATATGTGTTCTAGCCCTTTCAAGGGGCATCTAGATGGCGCAGTGGATAGTGTTAGGCCTGCAGTCAGGAAGACTCATCTTCTTGAGTTCAAATCTAGTCTCAGACACTTACTAGTTATGTTACCCTGGGCATGTCACTTCATCCTGTTTGCCTCAGTTCTCTCATCTATAAAATGAATTGGAGAATAAAATGGCAAACCACTCCATTATCTTTGCCCAGAAGACCCCAAATGGGTTCACAGAGAATCAGACATGCCTGAGGTTACTGAACAACAAAAGCCATTTCAGGTTTACTAAAGACTTTTTAGTAGTGTCAATCTTCTTATATCTCTACTTGCAGCAGCCTTAACTGAAAAGTTTATGAAAGTGTAACTTATTGATAAAGGTCTGATCCTTTCTCTGCACTTGATTAATGATCTTGGAAACACCTTGAGCTTCATATAATCAAAGGATTTTCTAGTTGAAAGTGCCTGTAGAATCCCAGCTGGTCCACTAGCATAAGATCACCTCTAAACTCTGCTTGACAAGTGGTCATCTAGCCCTACTTGAACACCTTCAGTGAGGAGAAGGGAGCACACGACTCACTTTCAGGCAGTTCTGATGGTTAGGAGGATTTCCCTAACTTCAAGTCTCCGTGCTCTGTCTCTTTACAACCTGTTTGCTCCTAGTCCTTCTCTCTGTGGCTCAGCAGAACAGGTCTCAACCTTCCTTCATTCTGCATACTTCATCAGACGGCATTATACTGGACCAGGGATTCTTTTTGTTTGTTTGTTTGTTTTGGTAAGGCAATTGGGATTAAGTGACTTGCCGAGAGTCACACAGCTAGTGAGTATTATGTGTCCGAAAACAGATTTGAACTCAGGTCCTCCTGACTCTAGGGCCAGTGCTCTATCCACTGTGCTACCTAGCTGCCCCATAGACAAGGGATTCTTAACCTGGGGTCCCCAAGGGCTCTGTAAATAGATTTCAAGATTTCATTGAATAGATTTCAATAGATTTCATTGAACTTGAATGGGAAAATTACATTTTAATTTTTCTTTATTATTTGCATTTATGATTTTATTTTATTACTTTTGTATTTTCACTAAACAACAATTATAATAGAGAATTTCCTTCAAGTATTTGAAAATATTATTTTGAGAAGAGGTCCATAGACTCCATCAGTTTGCCAAAGAAGTCCATGCCGGAAAAAAAAAAGATTTAGAATCCCTAGACTGGATAATTTCTAAACTTCCTTCCAGCTCTAATATTTTGTGTTATTTTGAGTCTTGCCCAACTTCTTTTCAGCTAAGTTTGACTTTGATCTCATTAGTTGATGGGTCTAGTATTTCACAAATTTCTGGCAAGGATTTTATTTGATTGCTATACTACAGATAAAATATTGACTGACCTTTGGGGCTGTTTGGCTGCATCAGTTGTGCTTGTATTCCTAATGTCTGCAACACTGTCAAAAATAATTAGCTTGAAATAAAATATTTTTAATTCTTTGAATGTGGCTGGAGAGAAGACATAGGTTATGTTGACAAAAAAAGTATAAGATGTATACATACATACAGAAGTATGCTAACATTCCATTAAATCTGTTCCGTGTATTGTTATATCAGCATAAAAATATCATAGTGGAGGCATAAAATGCAGCTTGGCTGTTTGTGGTATTTCTCTACCTACTAA